AGTAAATGTTGAAATAAATTCATTAAAATAAATGAGAACTCACTAGTTGATTAGGGTTCGCTTGCCTAACAATGGCGTTGGGCGCCTTCACGACCTATAATAGAATTTGGGTCGTGACACAGTTGTTATTTTCTTTAGCTCAATAATAGTAATATCAGTTAGCCATATATTCCTGTTTGATATTTATTTGCAATTACATGTAATATCTATCCGCTAGATAAATTTATCGACACCGTGAGAAGCTATCAAACGTTATGACAAGACTTTGGAAAATAGTTTATTAACATTCTTAAAAAATAATAGCTTAATATAGCTAACATTTTCAACATAAACAACCTTAAGTCTTTAAAATTTTAGCAATTTAAAAGTGTTCGACTCAATATTTTATTTCTGTCCCAGTTGATCGTGCTTTGATATTAGAAGTATATTGATTTTTCCTCATTAACCGAATACTTTTGCTTTAAGTTTTCGTCTCTTGGTATTTTGAAGTGAAAGATTTCTAATGTCGCCTGGATTATTGTTGTTTCGGGTGAAATAGTAATTCCTAAAATTATAAATTCTTGTGAAAATTAACTTACTCGATTTATATAAGTCATCTTACTGTTTATATCCCTAAATATTATGAGTTCCTATATAGTTCAAATAGAAAAGATTTAATAGTCAAAACTTTAGTTAATTTTTACGTTCTAAATATTAGAAAGTGCTAACGAAACGGTGATTTTGTCCAATATAAAATTTATATTTAATGATAAAAAGGTCAATCAATTTTGCGTTGAAATTTCATGCTTTTATAATAATCTAGATTGATTGAAGAAGAAAAAATTAAAAGAAAAGTGAAGCACTAGTAGTTTTAATTTTAGTATCACATAATTAGAATAAAATAATTTAGTTTATTGCAAATACTAAGTGAAGTAAGAAAAAGAAAATACCCGTTGATGTTAAAAAATTATTTTGTTCATCGTGATACAATTGGAGTATCATCACTTAATTGCCAAAACTACTTCAAAAGAACGTCTACAACTTTTGTACTAACATTCCAAATGACTTTTTAGATATTTATTTAAGGAATTATTTTAGGTATCTAGTTTAAATAAGAAAAGATTTGATAATTAAATTTCAACGAATTTCTAAGTCCTAAATATTAGAAAAATAATTAAATAACTATTTTATCTAGTATAAAATTTATTTTTAAAGGGTAAAAAAGACGAGCGATATTTCGCTAACGGGCTTCATGCTTTTAATAGCCTTTATGATCATGCGTTGCACGAGAAATGTGTACTGACAGCAATTATTTTTCAATTGCATATATACATAGTATGAAATCAGTTTCTTAAATAAATAAAAAAAAATATAATTTATTATACAAACCAAGTCATAAATTGTGATTTGAAATAATATAGAGAACAAATTAAAACTAAATATTCTAAAGTTACAAAGTTATGTGATTGAAGTTGTAAAATAACTTAACGAATGTACTATTATTTACTATTATGAGAATTTATGATTTACTTTAGTTAAGCCTTCAGGTATATGACGTCTAATGTATAACTCAAGATAAAAATATATTGATATGAAGAAAACTAAGCTTAAAAGTCATCTAGTTATCACTGTCTTTCATGGCACTTTGTTTAGTTGGACGTTATTCTGTTTCAATTATTACACATTCTTTTTTCTAAAAATTTTAAATTCTTAGCCACATATTGAAAACACAAAATATACAGAAGAAATCATATAATACAAAAGTTATCGCTAGGAAATTATTCAACCCAGATTCTTATCATTCCAATCAAAATCAATCATCACAGATAATCTTGAGATGTAACTTAGTATATCTATATTTGAAAGTGATTGATTTATTCAGAATAGTCAGCAATTAAGATTTAGCATTTCTGAGTATCAAATTAGCGTGTATATATATTAAAAGATCGTCATACCTACCAAACCAAACGTCATATCCTTGTTGTTGACATGTAAACGTTTCTTTTTAACTATTTATCTTAAATATAGAGTGAAAACTCATTTATAATTTATTCGAAGGAATAAAATTCATTCGGTTATGCAAACACTCATATTCAAACCTATTTATGCTTACCATGCAACCCTAAAGTCACTCACTCTCTCTCTCCCCCTCTCTCTCTCTCTCTCTCTCTCTCTCTCTCTCTCTCTCTCTATATATATATATATATATATATATATATAATTTTAATTTGTTAGATAAACAACACATAAAAAATACAAAAAATTTAATTCCTCGCTATAGAGCAATCTGATAGCTTTCTGATTTTTATATTGTTTTAAAATCGGAAGCAATTGAAATTGGAAATTTACGTTCTTTTTTTTTCCCAATGATAGGTGGCTTTAACAAATTCTACTATTAATGGGTAACAAACTCCTATATTTTAGGCACTATAATTTGATTCACATTGCTTTATGGTTTTAAAATTTCTAGTATTAGTTAGTTTCAAACTCCTATATTTCGGGCACTAAATATTACAATTTTATCACATATTCTATTTTTTTGTTTGAAGAATTAATCTAATTTTGAAGGGTATAAAAGTCAATCAATATTTCAGGAATATTTTTACAATTTTATCACATATTCTATTGTTTTGTTTGAAGAATTAATCTAATTTTGAAGGGTATAAAAGTCAGTCAATATTTTAGGGATATTTTTAAGTTCAACATATAATGTCCAACATTCATACTTTTATAATAATATAGATATAGATAGATAGATGTTAACACTATAAAGAAGCTGTTAACACTATAAAGAAGCTTATTATTATAATATTTTATTTCAAGCTTATTAATATAAATACGAAATAATTAATATTTGAACTGATCACCTAAGATAATTTTTATAAATATAATTGTTGAACTCTTATTTTTTACTTCTTTCAACCATGTAAATTTTTTATTTATTTCTTGAAATTTCAAGCTTACTGGGAAAACATATGAAATGACTATCACATTTTATTATTCTACTCCTTATTTGAACAATGTAAAAATTCCTAATATTTAGGAAATCAAAATAAAATAAACTTGTACTTTTTAAAATTATTTAAAAGTTGTACGTATAGTTAATAAGAAATTACAATGCATTAGGTAAATGTCGTATTCACCTTTCAAAGCAAAGCTAAACTTCAAAGTAAGTTCACGTTCTAACAAATTTTAAAAGTTTGAGTTGGATATTATAATTATTTCAAAAGTTTGTGAAGGACATTTTTGGAATAATAAATATTATTAGGGATAAGAGGGTAAAATACTTGGTCAAAGATAGTTGGCTTTTAAGCTGGAAAAAAAAAGTTGGGATCAGCCAACTTGTGGCTTTTGGCTTTTTTTAAGCCAGTTTTAACTTTTTTTAAGCTGTTTTCTTTTTTTCAAACACTCCCAACATCTAAAAATGGCTTAAAAGCTGGTTTAACCAACTTTTAAGCCAATCCAAACAGGCTCATAGATAGAATAGATATAAATATTTACAGTTCTTAGCTTTTTCATAAAGTCCAAAATAATGTATAGAGAACCTTGCTTTGTATTTGCGGATGACCTATAACACACTTTTAGTTCTGTATTAACAACACCCACATCTATATTCTATTGTGCGATAACTTTTATATTATTTTAGTAACAAACTACGTACGAGCAATATCATTACAAAAGCACGTAAATAATAAGAATGTTCGTTGCACTATCACTTGTTAGTTACTCATCTCTTGTTATCACTTTATATTTTCAATAATCTTTGCTAAAAGTTATACGAAAATGTACTTTTCATGTTTAGAAAGAAAGGCAATGTTTATTACTTCTAGTTCAATTATCTTATATCCTAATCAGGGCCGGTTCTAATATAGTATGGGTAAGGCAAGTGCTTTGGGCCCCCAATTTTGGGGGTCCCATTTTTTAGGAATAAGGAGTATATTTTAGAGGTTTATAGATTTTTCTTTTTTAAAAAAAATATATGTATATAGTACTTTTGTACTTTTCATATAAAAAGAAAGAAAAACTTTAGATATATTAATAAATTAAAGTTTAAAATAGTAGAAAAATCATTGTCACTTTGATTTGATTTGACAACTCTACTTTTAATTCTTCCAAGTAATCCCTAACCAACGTTTCAATTCTAGTGCTAATATTCATTCATTCTTCATATTCCAGAAGACATATCTTCTTCCTTCCTCTTTATTCATGCTCATCTTCTTAATTCTTTCTACTAGATCTCTTTCTTTCTCCAAGACTCCAACAAGCCAACAACTAGATATTTTGGAATCAAAGTCTTCAAACTTCTTGAATCAGTCAGACAGTGGGTGATATCATTCTAACTTTCTTGTATTATTATTTTATTAATTTTACTCTGTACATATTATTTAATTTTTTTTTTAGAATAAAAATATGCCAACAAGAAAATATGCATCTGGTTATTCAAAAATACAAAAGAAAAGAAAAGTTGAAAATTTAATAAAATCTCAAAAAGTAGATCTTGACAAATTTTTGACAAACAATGAAAAATAAGGCTCCATATTAAACTTTCGCCTTAGGGCCCCATATACGCTTGAGCCGCCCTGATGCTAATGTACCTCAATTCAGATTTTCTCCCAAAATTGTACTTTCTTTTGGATAATGAATTGATGATACTAAACTTGTTTTGATTTTCATTTAAAGTACACTATTAATATTTAATCACATGTAAATCATGCAAGTCAAGTGAGACCTTAAGAATAGCAGGGGCGAAACAAATTTAATTCACAAAAGGGTACTAGATAAGCAAAAATTTTACAAAATTGTCCGACC